GTAGAAATGTGACCTTAAACAGAGAGCTGGACAAAGATTTTTCTTTAATATTTTTTTACTTTTAGAAAACCTTTGCCAGTTGTGAACAAAACCAGGGTCAGAGACACTGATTACCATTCCTACAGGGGTAACTTACTGAATTCTGGAAGGCAGGATTGGAACTAGATCTTAATTTGGTCTCTGTTGTCCCACTCCCCGAATCCCTTTCCTCGGTGGTCAGTGTCATGCCTTTCCCTTTCTCAGGTCCCATTTGCAGGTTGCTGCCCTCCGTCTGCAGAAGAGCTCCTTCTCAGTGTTTCTGTGTCCATGCCCCCAGTGCAGTGGAGTTGCTGAGGGCCACTTCACTCACACACCTGCTGGGCTCTGGGTTGGATCTAAGAGAGGCACTTCCATAGCACTTCCTTCCTAAAGGAGACCTGGGGGCAAGCCCCTCTGTGCTTCCTCTTTCCTGTTTGTAGCCTCACACCCACCCTGAGGATTTATTTCGCAAGCATTGTGCTCTCTTGTCAGTCCCAAGTCTCACCCACATGCATAGTGAGTGACCAGCTTGTTGATAGTAACTTTACAGGCCACTTAGTGACCTTGACCCAGGAGGCCTTCTGACTGAAGTGGCCACACATGTCCTTCCTGACTGATCCCTCTATTAGGTATTCTTTCTACGGGCAGTTGCTCTTGATGGGATGGGAACATATGTTTCATCTCAAGGACCACTGGGAAATTGACCCTTTACTCCTGCCCCTGCCCCTCCACTGCCCCTGTGTGTTTCTTGGCAGTTTTCTTTGTACCCTGCTGATCTCTGAGACCTGAATGTGCCGAGATTTGTAGGGAATAGCCTTTAACCCTTTCCTACATGCTAGCTGTAGAGGATATCACTACTTGGAATGCCAAAACCTTAATTATGAGGCATCTGTAGTTTCCTCTTAGGAGTCTGTCTGCATGGAAGTGAGTGTTGAAAACCGATAACATGAATTGCTACGCCTTCAGGAGTTTTTGCAGTGTTTCTCTGGGTAGTTCCACAAAGAGTATCTTGTGATTGGAAGGATGCTGGAAATACAATTAATAATATTGATGGCACTACTCTTCGATGTTAAACGGATTTCAGGATTTTTTGAACCACAAAACCACTGTCCAGATGCCCATTCCAAAATCAGTTGCTAAAGTGTCTCACATTACCATTCACTTTAAGAGAGTGGTGGCCAGCCTTATGGTGTAGCAAGTAAAGCTACCACATTGGATGATGACATCCCATATGGGCACCACTTGTTCAAGTCTGAGCTGCTCCACTTCCAATCCAGCTCCCTGCTAATGGCCTGGGAAAGCAAAGAAATTGGGACCCTGCCATCTATGTGGGAGACCTAGAGGAAGCTCTTGGCTACTGACTTGGCCTTGCACAGCACTTGCTGTTGGGATTATCTGGGGAGTAAACCAGATAATGGAATGATGGAAGAGTCTCTCTCTCTCTCTCTCTCTCTCTCTCCCCCTCTCTCTTCCTCCTCCTCCTCCTTTCTCTACCCTCCCTCTCTCCCTCTCTTTCTGTAACTCTTGCAAATAAATAAATAAATCTTTAAAGAGAGAGATAAAGTGAATTCAAGATAAAGACAATGTCTGACATCTGAAAAAGTTGGTTCTTTTCTTGTTAAGGTTTGAAAGTTCTCTGTTTACACTCAGCTCACCCAGAAGCCATCTTGTTCTTGGCTGTTTCTTGAGTTTTCACTTTGTGTGTCCCTGGCCCCTCACACACTTATGTCATCCAGCTTCTCTCTGGTCTTTGAGTTGTTGCCCTAAAAGGATGGACCGTGGGCTGCTGCTCATGGATATTCAGGATTCCAGTGGCGTTACCACCACCGTGTGGATTCTGGACCTCGGATGCCCCATCCCTGCAGCATGGCAGCTGTGGACACAGGCCCAGCCCTGGAAACCACAGGGACCTCCTAGAGACAGCACTGCTGGAAATTGCCTGGGGTGTGGTTACCTGGGTGGGCTGTCCCACACCCTGCCTTCAGTGGTGCCTGTCAAGGAGCCCAGTGCACTGCTGCTGACTAATATCTTGCAGTTGTTTTGATTGGCAGATGCCCTGAAAGTGTCAAATGCTCTCTGTAAAGGAAGAGAAGGCCCTCTTTGTTTATTCAGTGCCTGCTTTTGTATTGAGTGTGAGGGGATCTTGGGGACATTTCTTGCCTATCAAACCACAAGGAAAATTCAGGCAGCTTTCTCCCTGGATTTTAAAATAGACCGTTAACCATGACCTGTTGTCAGATGCCAGTGATGATGGTGGTGATGATATGATGATAATGATGTTGATGATGATGATGATGGTGATGCTGGTGATGGTGATGATGGAGAAAAAAGGGGCATAGGGAGAGAGAAAGCCTCAAATTGTATCAATCACATGCATTTAAGTACATTTCTGGTTGACTGCTTGGGTGTTCAGCACAGACTTGGCTGCTGAGAACTGGAGTAGAAAGTTGTTCACAGTGAGAGATGGCAGGCCAGAGTCACATGTGGAGTGAGCGAGAGGAGGCTGATGAGGAGAGAAGTTTGATGATTGATGGACGGTCACCATGGTGGCAGGAGGAAGTGGAGCAAAGTGCCTTTTTGCAGGAGCACAACATGAGTGAAGGTCTGTGGCATGGCCAGCAGTGGGTGTTGTGGGAGCTCTATGATGGTCGGTGATGCTGAGCTTAAAGCACTTTGGGAATGCCTGTGGGAAAATGGGAATATGCAGCCATGCTAATGAAATCCCTGAGCTCTGTCTCTCCGACAGTAACAGATTACTCCAGGAGCTATAACCTTGGCCAAACAGAGTGGGCATCCAAATGATAGACCTGTCACATCTTACTGGTCCCATGTCCTATGCTCAAATGTTCTCAGTGTCCAGGAATGGAGAGGAGCCTGACATGTATTTGATCCAGGGTACTGCAAAGGTAGCAGCTACTGCTGAGTGGGAAAGGAGTTTACAAGGCTCCTAAGTGATTCTTTCATTAGTCGTATAGTCCTCTTGAGAGAGTTTGATACTGAGGACTCAGACCTTGCAGAGATCTCACACATGTAGAGAGAAAGAGAGCTTGGAGAATGGCTCCTGGCTTTATGGCTTGCGTGAAAAGAAGAAAGGTCTCAAGAGGAGCTGTCTTGGTTCAATGTACTATTGATTGCATCCCTGTGCTGGCTCTTTGGCAGTTTAGTCTCAGTGATTGCACATACTGTGCAGGACACATAGCTGTTTTCTTTTAAAGATTTATATTTTTTTTTGAAAGGCAGCATCAGAGAGAGAGAGGTGGGAGGGAGAGTGGGCAGAGAGAGAGAAAGAAAGAGATCTTCCATCTATTGGTTTATTTCCCAAATGCCCTTAACAGCCAGAGTTGGGCCAGACTGAAGCCAGGAGCCAGGAGCTCCATCCAGGGCTCCTAAATGGGTGGCAGGGACCCAAATGCTTGAAGCATCTTCTGTTGTTTTCCCAGGTGCAGTAATAGGGAGCTGGGTTGCAAGCAGAGCAGCCGGGACTCAAGCGCTGTGATATGGGATGCCAGCTTAACCCTCTGTGCCAGAACACTGGCCCCAAGATGTAACTTTTTTACATGTAATACTTTAAAATCATTTATTCACATGTATTCTTTGCAGCACTGCCATCTACTCACAGGAAACAAAGGTTAAAATTAAATAATTAGCCCAGTAAGTTAAAAAGCATCTTCCAGTGGGGAGCAAAATCTTGAATAAAACTAATTTATGGCACTTCAGTTTAAGTTGCAGAATACTGAGTTTTTAATGCATGAGTGAATGCACACCAACAGCAATGAAAGCTGAATTTACTAAGAAGTGCTAGACAGATGAGACAATTTCTCAGAACTTTCCTATGTATTTGGAAACCAGTAGATTTATTTTTAAATAAATTTTATTGTGTGTATTAAGGAAGAGCATGGGGTTATTAGATAGATATGTATATATATATTTATTGTGTATATATATATATATGATTAGTAAAACAAATTAGCATATCTATCATCTCACATAATTAGCCATTTTCCCCATGAGGCAAGAACAGCTGTAAGGTAGTCATTTAGTAAAAATCTTAATACAACACAGTATTTTTTAAAATTTTCTTTTATTTGACAGATAGAGTTAGTGAGAGACAGAGACACAGAGAGAAAGGCCTTCTCTCCATTGGTTCACCCACCAAATGGCCGCCACAGATGGAGCTACACCGATCTGAAGCCAGGAGCCAGGTGCTTCCCTCTGGTCTCCCATGTGGGCGCAGGGGCCCAAGCACCTGGGCCATCCTCCACTGCCTTTCCAGGCCACAGCAGAGAGCTGGACTGGAAGAGGAGCAATCGAGACTAGAACCCAGCGCCCACATGGGATGCCGGCGCCACAAGCGGAGGATTAACCAAGTGAGCCATGCATGGCACCAGCCCCAGCAACACAGTATTTTTAAAAATATTTATTTATTCAAAAGTCAGAGTCACACAGAGAAAGGTAGAAACGCAAGAGAGAAAGAGAGAATCTTTCATCCGCTGGTTCACTCCCCAGATGGCTACAACGGCCAGTTCTCGGACAGGCTGAAGCCAGTAGCCAGGAGCTTCTTCTAGGTCTCCTACATGGGCGCAGGGATCCAAGCACTTGCTCCATCTTCTGCTGCTTTCCTGGGTCATTAGCAGGAAGCTGGATCTCAAGTGGAGCAGCTGGAACACAAAATGGTGTCCATATGGGATGCCGGCACTGCAGACAGCTGCTTTACCCACTATGCCACAAGGCCAGCCCCATACAGCACAGTATTATTAACTATAGTCCTCATTTTATACATTAGATCTTTAGATTTGCTCATCCGACATTTTTACTGCTTTTATCTCCTTTTAATAGAAAACAATTCAGTTGTAAGAAACGAGAGAGAGAGAGAGAGAGAGAGTGTGTGTGTGTGTGTGTGTGTGTGTGTGTTGGAAGTCAGATACATGTGATAATCCTGAAGTCCGAAATCCCTGATTTGATTTGATTTGGTCTTTTTTTAGGTGCTGGTGAATCCGGGAAAAGCACAATTGTGAAGCAGATGAAGTAAGTAAATTGAAAATATTAAATTTGTTCAAGTGTCATCTCTTGTCAAAGGAAGTCAGTGTCTTGTTTTCCTTGTCCACTGGTTAGAATCATCCATGAAGCCGGCTACTCGGAAGAGGAGTGTAAACAGTACAAAGCCGTGGTCTACAGCAACACCATCCAGTCCATTATCGCTATCATCAGGGCCATGGGGAGGCTGAAGGTAGACTTCGGCGACTCAGCTCGGGCGGTAAGAGATGAGCAGGCCTCATGAGTAACTTGCCTGATTGCACAATACCATGTGACAAAGGCTTGTCTGGACTCATCATGGGAGTCAGGATGGCAGGAATGAGGGAAGTGAGCCAGAGCTCTAGAAGTGAGTGGAAGAATAATATACAGGGCTGTGTGAACTCCCCTTTATAGCTATACTCTCCTCATCCATCCCATGGCATAGACAATTGAACAGTAACTGCAGTTGTATAAACAGTGGGTATCTCTCTCTCTCCATGACTGTTTTTAGTAGTGAATGGGGTAAATGGCTTACACCAGCAATTCTCAACATGTTTTTTTTAATTTGGAATACTGACCTGATCTAATTATTTGTAATCATGCCAGAATAATTTTTTGAAAAAAACAATCTAATTGCAAATGATAGACACAGTGTAAAAGTTTGCTGATCATCAGAGAAGGGACATGCTGACTATTAGAAGCATTTGTCAGAGTTTTAGAGCTGAAGAGGACTGTTGGAGACAAGCTGGTCCCACTTCGTTATTTTACCAGGTAATAAAATGGGAACCAAGGAAATTAGGTGACAGAGAGTGCCATGCTGCTGGTGTGCACCAGGAGCTCGAGCTGGGCGTCCTTGTTTGGCTCGGAGACTTGGTTCCAGTTTCACTGGAAATGGCCCTGGTCCTTGCCTATGACAGTTTGTTTTTCTTCTTTCACCACCCCGCCTGCTTTTGCTTGCTTAATCTATTAGCTTCAAGGCTGTTATCAGTGTATGGTTCATTTTCCCTTGATTTTTTATTAAAATAACTGTCATAAATTTTTTTTAACTTTTATTTAACAAATATAAATTTCCAAAGTACAGCTTATGGATTACATTGACTTTTTTCCCCCATAACTTCCCTCCCACCCGCAGCCCTCCCATCTCCCACTCCCTCTCCCATTCCATTCACATCAAGATTCATTTTCAATTCTCTTTATATACAGAAGATCAGTTTAGTATATACTAAGTAAAGATTTCAACAGTTTTCACCCACACAGAAACACAAAGTGTAAAGTACTGTTTGAGTACTAGTTATAGCATTAATTCACTTTGTAGAACACATTAAGGACAGAGATCCTACATGAGGAGTAAGTGCACAGTGACTCCTGTTGTTGACTTAACAAATTGACACTCTTGTTTATGGTATCAGTAATCACCTTAGGTTCTTGTCCTGAGTTGCCCAGGCTATGGAAGCCTTTTGAGTTTGTCGACTCTGATCTTAGTTAGACAAGGTCATAGTCAAAGTGGAAGTTCTCTCCTCCCTTCAGAGAAAGGTAGCTCCTTCTTTGATGGCCTGTTCTTTCCACTGGGATCTCACTTGCAGAGATCTTTCAATTAGGTTTCCTTCCTTCCTTCCTTCCTTCTTTCTTTCTTTCCTTCTTTCTTTCTCTCTCTTTCTTTCTTTCTTTCTTTCTTTCTTTCTCTCTTTCTCTCTTTCTCTCTTTCTCTCTTTCTCTCTTTCTCTCTTTCTCTCTTTCTCTCTTTCTCTCTTTCTTTCTTTCTTTTGCCAGAGTGTTTTGGCTTTCCACTCCTAAAATACTCTCATTGGCTCTTCAGCCAGATCTGAATGTCATAAAGGATGATTCTGAGGACACAGTACTGTTTAGGACATCTGCCCTTCTATGAGTCTACTGTGTATCCCGCTTCCCATGTCGGACCTTTCTCTCCTTTTTAATTCTGTCAGTTAGTATTAGTAGACACTAGTCTTGTTTATGTGATCCCTTTGACTCTTAGTCCTATCATTATGATCAATTGTGAACAGAAATTGATCACTTGGACTAGTGAGATGGAATTGGTACATGCCACCTTGATGGGATTGAATTGGAATCTCCTGGCACATTTCTAACTCTACCATTTGGGGCAAGTCAGATTGAGCATGTCCCAAATTGTACATCTCCTCCCTCTCTTATTCCCACTCTTATATTTAACAGGGATCACTTTTCAGTTAGATTTCAACACCTAAGAATAATTGTGTGTTAATTACAGAGTTCAATCAATACTATTAAGTAGAACAAAAAAAATACTAGGAGGGATAAAGTATTAAGTTGTTCATCAACAGTCAGGAAAAGGGCTGCTCAAGTCTCTGTTTCTCATAGTGTCCATTTCCTTTCAACAGGTTTCCTTTTTGGTGCTCAGTTAGTTGTCACTGATAAGGGAGAACATATGATATTTGTCCCTTTGGGACTGGCTTATTTCACTCAGCATGATGTTTTCCAGATTCCTCCATTTTTTTGCAAGTGACCAGATTTCATTTTTTTTTACTGCTGTATAGTATTCTATAGAGTACATGTCCCATAATTTCTTTATCCAGCCTACTGTTGATGGGCATTTAGGTTGATTCCAGGTCTTAGCTATTGTGAATTGAGCTGCAATAAACATTAAGGTGCAGACAGCTTTTTTGTTTGCCAATTTCATTTCCTTTGGGTAAATTCCAAGGAGTGGATGGCTGGGTTGTATGGTAGGGTTATATTCAGGTTTCTGAGGAATCTCCAGACTGACTTCCATAGTGGCTTGACCAGTTTACTTTCCCACCAACAGTGGTTTAGGGTACCCTTTTCCCCCACATCCTCACCAGCATATGTTGTTGGTAGATTTCTGTATGTGAGCCATTCTAACTGGGGTGAGGTGAAACCTCATTGTGGTTTTGATTTGCATTTCCCTGATGGCTAGTGATCCTGAACATTTTTTCATGTGCCTGTTGGCCATTTAGATTTCCTCATTTGGAAAATGTATGTTTAAGTCCTTTGCCCATCTCTTAAGTGAGTTGTTTGTTTTGTTGTTGTAGAGTTTCTTGATCTTTTTGTAGATTCTGGTTATTAATCCTTTATCTGTTGCATAGTTTGCAAAAATATTTTTCCCATTCTGTCAGTTGCCTCTTCACTTTCCTTACTGTTTCTTTTGCAGTACAGAAACTTCTCAATTTGCTGCAATTCCAATTGTTAATTTTGACTTTGACTGCCTGTGCCTCCGGGGTCTTTTCCAAGAAGTTGTTGTCTGTGCCTATATCTTGCAGGGTTTCTCCAGTGTTTTCTAATATTTTATGGTGTCGGGTTGTAGATTTAGATCTTTAATCCATGTTGAGTGGATTTTTGTGTAAGGTGTAAGGTAGGGGTCTTACTTCATGCTTCTGCATATGGAAATCCAGTTTTCCCAGCACCATTTATTGAATAGACTGTCCTTACTCTAGGGATTGGTTTTGGATCCTTGATCAAATAAAAGTCGGCTGTAGATGTTTGGATTGATTTCTGGTGTTTCAATTCTGTTCCATTGGTCTATCCATCTGTTTCTGTACCAGCACCATGCTGTTTTGATTACAACTGCCCTGTAGTATGTCCTGAAATCTGGTATTGTGATGCCTCTGGCTTTGTTTCTGTTGTACAAGATTGCATTAGCTATTCGAGGTCTCCTGTGTCTCCATATGAATTTCAGCATCATTTTTTCCAGATCTGAGAAGAAGGTCTTTGGTATTTTGATTGGTATTGCATTGAATCTATAAATTGCTTTTGGGAGAATGGACATTTTGATGATATTGATTCTTCCAATAGATAAGCATGGAAGATTTTTCCATTTTTTGTTATCCTCTTCTATTTCTTTCTTTTAGATTTTGTAATTCTCATCGTAGAGATCTTTAACGTCCTTGGTTAAGTTTATCCTAAGGTATTTGTTTTTGTGGCTATTGTGAATGGGATTGATCTTAGAAGTTTTTTTCTCAGCCATGGCATTGCCTGTGTATACAAAGGCTGTTGATTTTTGTGCATTGATTTTATATCCTGCTACTTTTCCAAACTCTTCTATGAGTTCCAATAGTCTCTTAGTAGAGTTCTTTGGATCCCCTAAATAAAGAATCATATCTGCAAAGAGGGGTAGTTTGACTTCTTCCTTCCCAATTTGTATCCCTTTAATTTCTTCTTCTTGCCTAATGGCTCTGGCTAAAACTTCCAGAACTATGTTGAATAGCAGTGGTGAGAGTGGGCATCCCAGTCTGGTACCAGATCTCGGTGAAATGCTTCCAACTTTTCCCCATTCAGTGGGATGCTGGCCGTGGGTTTTTCATAGATTGCTTTGATTGTATTGAGGAAAGTTCCTTTTATACCCAATTTCCTTAGAGTTTTCATCATGAAAGGGTGTTGTATTTTATCAAATGATTTTTCTGCATCTATTGAGATAATCATATGGTTTTGCTTTTGCAGTCTGTTAATGTGGTGTATCACATTGATTGATTTGCAAACATTGAACCATCCCTGCATACCAGGGATGAATCCCACTTGGTCTGGGTGGATGATCTTTCTGATGTGTTGTTGCATTCTAATGGCCAGAATTTTATCGAGGATTTTTGCGTCTATGTTCATCAGGGATATTGGTCTGTAATTGTCTTTCAATGCTGCATCTTTTTCAGGCTTAGGGATTTTGGTGATGCTGACTTCATAGAAAGATTTGGGAGGATTCCTTCTTTTTCAATTATTCTGAATAGTTTGAGAAGAATTGGAGTTAGTTCTTCTTTAAATGTCTGGTAGAATTCAGCAGTGACTCTGTCCGGTTCTGGGCTTTTCTTTGTTGGGAGGGCCTTTATTTCTGTTTCAATTTCTGTCTCAGTTATGGGTCTGTTTAGGTTTTCTTTGTCTTAATGGTTCAATTTAGGTAGTCCAGGAATCTATCCATTTCTGATAGTTTTCCCTGTTTGCTGGCATACAACTCCTTGTAGTAATTTCTGATGATTCTTTTTATTTCTGTGGTGTCTATTGTTACGTTTCCTTTTTCATCTCTGATTTTATTGATTTGGGTCTTTTCTCTTCTTTTTTTAGTTAGATGGTCCAATGGTGTGTCAGTTTTGTTTATTTTTTTTTTTTTTCAAAAAACCAGCTCTTCATTTTACTGATCTTTTTTAATGTTTTTTTTTTAATTCAATCCTGTTGATTTCTTATCTGATTTTAATTATTTCTCTTCTCCTACTAGATTTGAGTCTGGTTTGCTGCAGTTTTTCT